AGTTACATAGTTGGATATTCTTGGTTGTTGCCAATATAAAGTTCTAGGACATAGAGTATACCTAACAATGTCTCGTAAGGCACGAGAGATGACATTACGAGCAAATATGTTCTGGCTGGAGTGAGAGGCGGCACCTGCGCCCAGTGGCCATGTTGAGTGTTGGTGTCGCAGGCGAATTCAGGGAAGCCTTGCTCTTTTCCTGAATTAAACAGGTAAATCATTGCCCCAAATAATGCTTAAGCACAACGCGAACGTCAAGTACTATCACCTCTGCTCGTCTAGAGCTAGGTTGATAAGAAACAAAGACATACGACTTGAATATTTTTAAAAAGTTGGACGAAGCTGCGCGGGCGCCCGTGAGCCGAGCATGTAATGTGTGTCAAGTGAAAATTCTCCCTGCGGAGCTGGCTTCTCAATGGATCTACGCTTGCTGTTGCTCGTGGACGCGGGTGCCAATGGCATATGCCTTTCTCAGATTAAGGGCGCGATGAGGGAAACAGCAGCCTGAGGCAGGAAGGGAGTTCCGCCTTGAGGCCTCGGAGGCTGCGGGTTGGCCGCTTTTCACGGCCTTTCGAGGTTTTCTCGCCTACAGGGGGAGGGGGGGTCGGGATCCTCTAATAAGTAATGAAGAAGGGATATCATGCCCTTTCAAGGTGTGGCGCAAATTTCCAAGCTAAAAAGAAGGGATGACAAGAAAATGATTCGTTTCAGCTGTCAAAAGTCCTGTCTTATGCTTTACTAATCGCCCCGAGTGGCATCCTGTGGAGAGAGAAAAAATAATGGCCACTTTAAGCACACAAAGCAACACACATAGGTATGAAAAGTATTTTAAAGGAGGCGAAGGTAAGGTTGTATTTATCAAAATCTGCAAGACTGCTTTTGCCTCAAAGCCTAGATGCTTGGTGAACCCCGTGCGCCAGCAAAGGCAAACAAACTTCAAACGTATATTTTTGTAAGATACGACCCGCTAGTATCCCTGGGGCAGCATTCATTAAGGATTATATACTGAAATTTGTCTGAAAGAAATTTTGTCCATGGCTCTTTGCAGAAATATCCTTAACACGATTTTTGTTTAGGACTCAGGTGATGTTAACCCAATGCCGCCGGGGAAAATGAATAAAAATTGGGGAAAATCTGTGCTCATTTTCTAAATTTTTGTGAAATGTCTCTGCACATAGATGGCTCTACTTGTGCTTAGCCACAAAGGAGTCAATTAGTAGACCTTGTGACCTTACCTGATTTGAATTGGCAGGAAAAACATATTTTTTACTAGTGCAGTGAATATCAATGTTGTTATTTTTATTATAAACATTTTGATTATATAATGAATAAACGTTAGTAACAGCAAAATAAGATAACGTAAAATATTTTCATAAATCAAAGAAAAGGGTAAACGGGCGAGACGGGCAGTACTTGTAACTGCCTCATTGGTGACTTCGTACAAGTGTAGCCATCTATGTGTAAAAACAATAAAACAAGTAACTCACAGTGGGCATAGCATGTACGTACATGTCATGACTGTCGGCATTGGGTTAAAGACAGCTCTAGAGGTGTCTCATGCGCATAAGGACTGTCTCTCAATTGTCTGTTTGAGACACCTACAACAATCTGCTATTTTACAATTGTTTCCATGCTTAAATTAGGTAAATAGGTAATTATCTTCAATAGGATTGCATTAGTGCTTTGGCCTTCATGCTTAGGACTTTGATGAAGGCCAGAAAAATTACTGACATATACAAGCAAGATAAAGGTATGGTTGGTTTCCTAGGTAGAAGGGTCACCAGGCCCACCTTTCCAGAATACATGTATGTGGACTTTAGTTTGCCTGTATTGGAGTGAAGCCACAGAGTCACAACAGTTACTGATTTTTGAGTCAGATTAACTCATTCACGCCGGGTGTCACGTATGCATGACATACCCACTGCGAGTTTACTTGTTTGATTGTTTTCACACATAGATGGCTACATGCGTACTTGTACTGCCTGTCTCGTCTGTTTACTCTTTTCTCTAATTTAAGAAAATATTTAACGTTATCTTATTTTGTTGTTACTAATGTTTATAACATTATCGTAATTATAATATTCATGATAAAAATAACCATAGATATTCATAGCACTAGTAAAAATACATTTTCCTGCCAGATGAAATCATGTAAGGCAGAGCCATCTAGTGTTGAGATATTTCACAAAAAAAAATAAAAAAAATGAGCACAGCATTTTCCCCATTTTTTAATCATTTTTACCCGGCGCGAATGGGTTAACCCCATGGATCTAGATGATGTGACCTTTATGCATAACAAATAATTTGTCTGAGTGGCGATGTTCACAAAAAATTTGGCTGAAGGCCAGGGTAACGAGAACTTGCCATGAAAACTTTGGCTGAAGGCTAGAGTGATTGGATGATAGACCACGAGTATACAAAGCTCTTGGAGGAAGATTAGACTTGGTGGTTAAGAAGAGGCTTTTGCATTATTTTCATTGATAAATAAGTGAAATCATCGTGAGCCATGCACTGTCGTGACTAGCGGTGCTGATTGTATTGCAAAAAATCACAAATTACAAAATGTTATATATTGTTGTTTATTATACTATTATTTATAGTTTATAAGTTGGCAGTGTCCATTCCCTCTATCTCTGTGTGCCGTTCTTGGTAACATTAACCTAAATGCTTATGCTGAAAAAAGAGATAGTAACATTTGAAAAGATATTAACGTTATCTTATTTTGCTGTTACAAATGTTTATAACCTTTTAGTAATTATAACGTTTATAATAAAATAACACCATCGATATCCATAGCACTCGTGAAAAATATGTTTTTCCCGCCATTTCAAATCAGACACTAGCAGAGCCATCTATGGGGCAGACTTTCACGAAAGACCGAGCGTAAGAACTTGCCATGAAAACTTTGGCTGAAGGCTAGAGTGATTGGATGATAGACCACGAGTATACAAAGCTCTTGGAGGAAGATTAGACTTGATGGTTAAGAAGAGGCTTTTGCATTATTTTCATTGATAAATAAGTGAAATCATCGTGAGCCATGCACTGTCGTGACTAGCGGTGCTGATTGTATTGCAAAAAATCACAAATTACAAAATGTTATATATTGTTGTTTATTATACTATTATTTATAGTTTATAAGTTGGCAGTGTCCATTTCCCTCTATCTCTGTGTGCCGTTCTTGGTAACATTAACCTAAATGCTTATGCTGAAAAAAGAGATAGTAACATTTGAAAAGATATTAAACGTTATCTTATTTTGCTGTTACAAATGTTTATAACATTTTAGTAATTATAACGTTTATAATAAAAATAACACCATCGATATCCATAGCACTCGTGAAAAATATGTTTTTCCCGCCATTTCAAATCAGACACTAGCAGAGCCATCTATGGGCAGACATTTCACGAAAATATAGGAAATAGGCACAGCATTTTCCCTGGTGGCAATGGGTTAATATATAAAATACCTTTCAGTACATGCACACTCGCCAGAGACCAGTGCCCTAACGCCACATCACAAAACTTATTCAACAATATAAATTACCATGACTGGGGATGCCCTTCAGGCCCTGTCTGAGGAGAGGGTTGATGGGGGCAGTGACCCCCCAACACCACTTGCCAAACATTGTCTTCACTTTGGAATGCATGGCAAAATAGAGCTAAAACTCAGGAACACTGAGTGGACTTAGGCAGTGAGCAGTGCTTTCCATGATTTTTTTCCTTTATTTGTACAGTATCTATTTGTGCTAGAAGATTATTTCTTGTAGCAATGACTTTTAGTCCTCTACATGAATATCATCTTCAATTTGCCAAAACTTAGTGAATCCATATTATAAAGATTAAGCACAGTGAATCCTTTAAAGGGGAGCAGCATTGTTTATTTTCTGCATCTTAATATGTACCTCTTATGGCCTCTGTACTCCCACTGCCTTGACAAGGGAAAAAATCTCTACCATAAATTTTCTAGTCAGGTAGAATTTAAACTGGGAGTATATTGCCAGGGAGTTCAAAAAGCACTATCTTTCTGGAAGAGTGGGGAAGAGTGTTTGAGTGGCCTTTGCTGGAGCACAAATTGTAGGGTTCACAACAGAGTACATGGGCCTTTGTAAATCCTAAATTGAAGACATCATGGGAATAGAGAGAAAATAAAGCAATTCCTTTAATAGACACTTAGAACAATGATATTAACTATAGAAAAAAAGGAAGTAAAAATAACCTAAAAAGTTTACAGCAGATTAAGTCTGTTGCTTGAATCAGTTGATAGTTTATTAATGTACAAGCTACAACAAAGATTACTGTATGAACCAAAAACTTTCCTATTCCAGGGAATAGGAAAGTATATATATTTATATATGATTCTTAAGTAATTTATCTTCCCCCAATCTCTTACACGTTGTTGTCGTGGGGGGCTTAGGAGGCGGAGACTGGGACCCAATAATAGGAAGCTCCCCAACCTTGGGACTCAGCCCTTGCCTCAACTAATTTTGCATGGTCTTTTTTCTCTTACTACTTTTCCGTTTCTTTTCCTTCACCAATCCCTTCTACTATCCACCTCCTAAAGTGTGAGAGCCGTGCTGAAAGGATGAAAGGCTGACTTTGTGGCAGTCCTGAACAGAGCCATGGGCATGGTATTCTCCTGCTTAGACCTAGCCCTTACCCCTCAAGGAGACCCTGAGGGGTGGACTGTTTTTCTCCCGAACATACTCCAGGCTTACCATGGCAAATAATGAAAACGTAATTCCACTATTAGGGGCAATGAGGCTTGCCCTTTCATCAGATAGCCCCAATAATTCAAATCCTCCTGATTCCCTGACCTCAAGCTCTCCTTTGACCACAGCTCCGAACACTGCAACAACTACCCCCTCCTCAATGCCTACTAGTACAGTAGTCAACACTCAACCCCCTAGAGACATTTCTACTCTCCTATCATGCTCAACTTCAATACCTCTATCCCCACAACCTTCTACATCAACTGCCCCATCCTCCCTTATTAATACCTTA